AGGCCACAACAAGGGAACATCTTAACATTTCCTGTTCTCTCTGAGCCTTTTCCCTCTGCCCAGCTTCTTCCTGCCTAGACAGAATGTGACTATGACAGCTGGGGGGCTTTGGCAACTGCTTTAAGCATTGTAAGAACAGGACTGGCATCCACACTGCAGGCGACAGAGGGCAGCTCCAAGTCTCTCACTGACAGGAGACCAAACTGCATTTTGGGTACCAGATTCCTGTGTGGGTTTCAAGCAGCTTGGACACAACCAGTGGAATCTCTTGCTTCCTTGGAACTCCAGGACGGGCTATATCTCAGCCTGCTTGCAATGTGAATACCATGGGTCAGTGTCCTGCCCCTAGGAGCCTGTCTCTGACAGAAGAATACAGGGCCCAGGCTCTGTCAGCCACCTGCCCTTCTGACTGGGCTCTCAGTGCAGTTGCTCAGAACCCATCACCACCAAACTTTCCTCTGAGTCTCCCAGGTTGCCCTGCGTTCTTCCTAACCCTGAAACTGGGCTTTGTTCTCGCTCAGAAAACGTGGGAAGGGCTGTCTACAAATGAGCCAGGCAGATGGTGGAATGAATGGGCAGTTAGAGGTGACTAAGAAGGGAGGGGCAGGCCCTGAGGACAGGCCACGTGCACAGCCCCTCCGAAGGGAAGGTGGAACCCGTGCCTGTGTTGGAGGCACCCTGCCGGTTGTGGTTGCAGTTCCCACCTAGGCCGGATGGCCATTCTGAGTACTGTTAAAGGCAGGGCTCCCTCTGCCCCAGCGGCGCTCTTTGCTCGCTCTTTGCTCTCCACCTGACTTCATCTGGAGAGTGTCTTTAGACACAGACACCCCTAACCACGTTTAATATATGGCCTCTGACACAGCTCCCTGCTAGCTCTCCTCTCCTGGATGATAATTAGCCTAGATAATAATTAGGCGCTGTGTTTCCATTCATATGATAGGAGCGTGCTGTATAATGCAAATGAAGCATCCTTGAAGCGCCTAGTCTAACCAATTATGTACACCCATTCTTGGAGCCACCCACCGGCTCCCCAAGGGGCATATAACCAGTTCTTGTAATTAAAGTTGAATTAAGCCATCAGCGGGTTCCCGGGGTGTGAGATCCCTGTATGGTGCTCACTGGCCACTCCAGGCACGCTTCTCATCTCCTGGCTCTCCTGACTTTGTGGGATTCCGGGAGCCAGCCCCCAGGCAGGAGAACCAATGCCAGAGAACACAGGGCAGAAGCTATGATGGGAAACCAGAAGCCAGGAGGAGCAGCAAGGACTCTCAGGTGTGTGTGTGTGGAGGGGGGGAGCTCTGCTAGCCGGAAGACTCACCCAGGAACCCCTCCCCAGAGGTTTCAAGAACCTCCTTCAAGTTCCCCTGCCATCACACAGCATATCGACACTACACGGGGGAAGGACGAGAGGCCTCGAGGTCCCAGCATGCAACTCCTGCCGGATGACACATGTGTAGCATGTGAACCCAATTACTCACCCCAAGGCCTCAAGGCTGAGTACTGCTTCAAGAAAACAATGAAGGGAGAACTTGGAGGAGCCTAGACATTTATTACTCATCCAGTCCCCAGCTAGCACCGACTGGGGACAGGGACCACACCACCTTCAGGCAGTAGCCTGTCTGCAGATTCAGAAGAGAGAAGAGCAGGGACCCGGCACTCCTGGTTCATTAACCAATTTCCAAAGCACACTCATCCATCACCATCTTTGAAGAGGAAGATGGTTAGCGACCTCCTCCCCACTAGACTAGAACAAGGTCACAAGGACTGCCTCCGAGAGCGACACAAGACGTTTCTGGCAGCCTGAACGAACCAGTGCACGCATGGTGCCTGCGTGCACCCTGTGTATGGTGTGAGCCTGTACGGGTGTGCCCGGTGTGTGCTGGAGCTGTCCAACCCGACCCTGCCCTGGGCTGAACTGCTACAGAGGACAGGTTACCCTGTCGGCCTGAGGGCCAGTGCCGCGTCTGTGGCACCAAGGGCTTTCCTACTTGTGCCTCTCACACACCTGAATGTTGGGCATCAGGCTGAGAAAGGGGGTGGAGAGATGAAGGTGAGAGAGTCCCTGGCAGAGAGGAGGGAGCTCAGCACTCAGGCTGGGTGGACAGGAGCGAGGCTCTCCCCACAGGCCTGTTTCCCCTGCCTGCAGTGGCCTTTTCTTCCAGATGGTCTGAACTACACAGACACAGGGGTCACTTGTCCTCCAGAGCCAATGACAGACACTGCGTGGCCTCAGGGTCTGTGGGACTAGGAAGAAACATTGGAACTGAGATATAACTGTCGATTAAAAAAAGAAAACCTTACTAGAAATGGTTAACCCTTTCAGGGTTGTAGCACGCTGAATCCACACCATGATGGTCCTGTAACTGTTCTAGCCTGCATTATCTTGACAGATTTGGAAGAAAAATGCACTTGAACTGGAGCTCGAAAATAAGGTTATGTGTGGGGCTGGAGAGATGGCTCAGTGGTGAAGCGCACTGGCTGTTCTGGCGGAGGACCTGGGTTCAATTCCCAGCACCTACACGGCGGCTCACAACTCTAGTTCCAGGGGATCTGACAGCCTCTTCTGAACTCCACAGGAACCAAGCACACTTGTGATGCACAAATACACACGCAGGCGTATTTGTGCAAGTCCAAGAGTGACTTCAAAGAGAACGTGGAGGCCTGCCTGCTATCACAGAGGCCAGCTGGCTCCGAGACATCCTGGTAGCACACGCTGATAGTGCTCCCTGGAAACAGGCCACGGGGGTGGCTGAAAACCAGAGGCTGCCCCCCACACCCCAACGCCCACAGCTGCCAGACCATATTCAGGAGCCACATGCAGACAAGGCCTGGGCAGGAGCCAGCACCTCCCAGTGTCTCATGATGTTATCACTGTTTGAGGAACATTCCAGAAGAAACGCGCCTGGTGTTTATTCAACACTTGGCTTCTAAGCAGCACAGAAGCCTATGGGGTGTTGTGCTGTACAGCCTGGGAGCTGTGTATAAGCCTGCGTATCACACATCCCAGCACCCTCCATTCAGAGCAAGCCTGCCGGAGTCTTGTTCTTCACTTAACACAACCCAATGTCCTGGGCTGCAGTGCTTGGCCTGAGGGCCCTTTCGGCTGTCTGCTGAGGGCGGCCGGTAGTTTAAAACTCCAGCCTGTGGTGGGTGGAGTAGCTAGAGTATACCGCAGTCGGCAACCCGAGGAATGCCAGTTTCAGTGTGATGCCCACAGCCTGCTCCTCTCCTTCCCAGCTCATGTGCAGTCAGCCCCTCTTTCTGGAAAACAAAACAAAACAAAACAAAAACCTCAATCTCCTCCAAAGGTAGCCTAGGGTGCTCATGGCCCAGGCAGCAGGAAAAGGTGGGTTTCTGAGCAGAGGGAGACTGTGGGCGGGCTGACAGGTGAAGCACCCCACACACCCATTTATTGCAGCATTCATCCAATGACAGGGCACAGAGAGCCCTCTACCCACTGTCCACAGCTTCCAGGCCCCAGGGAAATAGCTGGTATAGAAGGGGCACACCGCACAGGTATATGTGCCACATGCAGCTGCACACAGCTGCACCTTAGACTGCCGTGTCCCTCCCCAAGGCCCCTGGCTCCCCAGCACCACTGTCACCTCACCCACGACCTCTCCTCCCAACCCAGCGGGGTTCCACAGACTGCCCATCTCAGAGAGAAAACTGCTAGAACTCCAGATGCCAAGACTAATTTCCCGTTCTGAGAAACTTCATACTCCCAGAAGAGTCAGGGGTGTGAGCAGATTTGCAAATGGAGTCACTGTAGACGTAGCTGAGTACATGGAGTCAGGTGGGACACACGTATGAGCCCAAAAGTTGGTAGCCTGTGGCAGGAGGTTTGCCACAAGTTTGAGGCCAGCCTGGGCTACACAGTAAGACCCTGTTGCAACAACAAAAATATGCTCAGAGTAGGGGTCCCTAAATTCAGTGTGACTACTCTGAGTGCATGCACACACCAGCATACACACTTGGGCTTCCTCTCGACTCCCTGTCCCCCAATCCTGAGACCAGAGCAGACAGAGGAGCAGTATGGGGCGGGGCTCTGAACATTCGGCCTCCAGACTGTTTCATTATGCCACCCAGCAGGAAAAAGGCTCCCACCATCCCACTGGTAGGCCACTCTCACAGCAGTACCAAGCCTTGTGAAACTCCTCGTCATCCAAGTGCACAAACCTGCTGGAGTAGAGGAAACCAGGGTGGGGTGCTCAACAGTTTAGGGGGCCTTCCATGCATTCTGACTTACGGTATTTTCATCTGAATCAAAGGCCAGCTCTAACTGACCCCAGCGAGCAAAAAAGCTGTGTGGTCTGTCCAGGCTCGGGGGTCCTGCTTTAGCAGACTAGCAGTTAGGAACACCAGAGCAGAAATGTAGAAGAGATTGAGGACACACGACTGCGGAACATGTCCCAGGCCACACTGCAGCATGGCTCCTGTCTGTCTGCTGAGATGAGTTCCCTCAGTGTCCCAAACACCAGGACTCGGGACGGCTTTCCTTCCAACCACCACACACGTGAGGATGGGGCGGGCAAGCCCAGTCCTGCTTAGGACAGAAAAAACTCTCTGTGGTCAGGGTCTGGGTTTGAGAGGGACACCGCTCAGCTAGGAGTCCCTAACTCTGGGGCCACCGACTGCTCTTCTTGTGCTGGGCATGTTTTGTTGACAAAGTACCTGGGAATGAGTTTAGGAGGAAAGGTCTGTCCCTGGTGGCTTGGCCCAATGGTGATGACATCACGCCATGAGGCAACAGTCAGTTCATGTGACTAAAAAATCAGAGGATCCCAATGTTCTCTACAAGAGCACACTCCCAGAGATCTAACCTGACTGGGGTCCCTTCCTTGGTGGCAGCCCAGTGCAGAGCAGAGGCCAGAGAAGCCAGGCCTCACCTAAGGATGGAGGAACCAAGGTACTGCTGTGCCCCACAGTCATTTCATCTGCTATGTAATCTTCAAGTCAGCACGAAAACCAGGGAACCGCACGCTTTCACAGAAACGCACTGCCACGTAATCTACGTTTATTCTATAAAGATTAGAACACACACAAACCCAGCAAATTCCCTTCATCCGCTGCTTTCTTGGGATCTGCTTCCTGTGTCCGTCCACGTGCTTTGTCTGAAGGGAAACAGGGTACCCACAGCCTGTAGCCCTCTGCCTGCCCACAGTTCTAGCCTCTGGCCAGCTGAGCGCCAGTGGTCAGCCGGTGGTCATCTCTGACCACTATTTGCATCGATTCCGAGGCAGTCCCAGTGATGTCTGCTTGACTCTTCTGCTCAGTCCACTAAAGTGTCCTCTGCCGGGGGCCCTGACATGCTGTAACTGACCTGAACGTGAAGCTGGCCTTGTGGAATGCTCTCCCAAGAAGGACCCTGAAGGGTGGCCTTGTCTTACCCAGCAGAGGCATCATGAAGAGGTGGTAGCCACGGCCAGACTAGAGTCCCTTGAAGCCACATGATAGAAACCTCAGTACAGAGAACACACAGACGGAAACCCCGAAAACCCTGCCACGTTGGACAGCGCCTGCATCACAGGTGGGTTTAGGCACACGTGGCTTCTCCCAATGAGAACCTACTGCCCCGCAGCAAGGCAGCCCCAGTGCCATCAGTAGATGGCTGGAATGGCCTCTAATAAAGGGAACTTAACTCTGTGTCAAGACCTGTTCACTCTTTTAATTAATTAATTAATTAATTAGGCTTGTTGAAGTAATATTTCTGAGTAGTCCTGGCCGTCCTAGAACTCGCTTTGTAGACCAGGCTGACCTTGAGCTCAGAAATCTGCCTGCTTTGTCACACCCAGCTTAGGCCTATTTACTCTTATCCACTTTCATTCACCAGAAGCCCAATGGTGTCCACACCAGGACTGGGGCCCTCTCCCAGGCAAAGGGCCGAGGCCCCAGTGTTGCCAGTCCCCATTCATGGGGGCTGGGGAGCTATGAGCATGTGAGTCCCCTTGTAAAAGGCTAAAGACCCTTGGGGTGAGGGTGTATGTGTGTGTTAGTAATCACGGCAGCAGCTCCCAGATGTGAGGGGAACATGGGTCAGCCTGAGTTGTGAGACTTGTGGGTGCTGCCCTCACCTTTCACATCCTGAAAACACACTAATGCCTAACATAAGGCCATCTTGCCACCCATCTAACAGACTGGTAGGCTGGGCCTGCTCTGCCTCTAGGCAGGACCATTTGCTTCCCTGCTCATAGTAGTACAAGGCAGTGAGGAGCTTGGGCTGAGAGAGGTCAAAGCCACAAGATATGGCCTGGCCAAAGGGAAATAGTGTGAGAGGCAAGGTGGCCAGCCGGGGTGCCCTGCTGTGACCAGGATCCCAAACAGAGCTGGGACGTCATGCTGAGTCTCAGGGGTAGAGCTACTTGACAGGCCTCCAGCTTCACACTACTGAAGACCCTGCCGATCCCCACATGAGCAGCCATCCCAACTCTGCCCTGCTGGCTGGGGACCCTGGGCTTGCTCAGCAGGGAACCAGGACAGCTTTCCTAGAGTCAGCTCAGCCTCAGAGATGCAGGAGTGGCTGGCTCATCACGGGAAGTGAAGCCACAGATGGGCTCCAGGCCATGGAAGCCACAGTCCACAAACCACTTTATTTGTCCTCACCAGCAGCTCTTCCTTCCCCTTCCCTAGGTCTCAAGTCTGGGGAGGTGGCCATGCAGGTCCAGGACAGTATTCAAGAGCTTCTGGCACCTCCACCCACATGAGTCCCTGGGCTCTCACAGCATATACTGTCCTGGTCAGAGCTGTTCGCCACCTTCCAGCTGCATCTGGTGTGCTAGCTGCTGTCCGATGGCCAGCAGGGGACTGGCTCTGTAGGCTGGGCTGGCCAGCAGCTCCCGAAACCGAGTCCTTTCTTCGTCACTAAAAGAATGGAAAGCAGAGGTCAGCATGGGGAGAACAAGAACCCCCAGGGCCCACACAACTAAAGCTGGAGCAGACAGCAGAGTAACCATGAGGGATAGTGCCAGGGCATCAGGACTTCTGGCAGGAGCAAGAGCACACAGGCTGCTGAGCACACACCAACCACGGGTGGGGTCCCTCTACCAGTAGGTCGAAGAGGGATTTGCGAAGGGCTGCTGCCAAGGCAGAAGCTGACAACAGGGAGTAGTGGCAGTTCACATGCCCCCAAGACAGCCTTATATAAGAGGTGCCTACCTCCCAAATGAGCCCAAAATAGATGTGCGCTGGAGAGCTTTGAGCAATGGGGCAGCTCACAGCTAGGACACAGGCAGCTCCGGGGGCCTAGGTTCTTCAGTGACCCTGACCTCTCAGATACACAAGAGCCTTGGCTGTCAGTTCCTCTCATCCCTTCCCCTAGCTCAGCATGGCCGCCTTCAGTCGTGCCTGGAGACACAGGACTGTGTTGCTGCCACATACAATGTCAGTCAAAAGAGAAGGCAAATGGCCCAGTGGCTCATTCATATGTTTGAACTTTTGGTCCTCAGCCAGTGGAACTATTTGGGAAGGATCAGGAGGTGTGGCCTTGTTGGAGGAGATGTGTCACTGGGGGTAGACTTTGAAGTTTCAAAAATCCACACCAGGCCCATTCCCTCTTCTTCTCTACCTGCTGCCTGCCCCAGCACCATGCCTCCCTGCTTCCTACCTTGACAATAATGAACTAACCCTCTGAAAAGCTGTAAGGCAGTCCTAATTGTTTCCTTTTGTAAGAGTGGTCATGGTTGTGGTGTGTCTCCACATCAATAGAAAAGTGATTAGGACGGACGGCGAGGATGCTGCAGGTGCAGCAGCAGAAGCAGCTGTGGGGACGAGACATATCCCGGCAGGTGGAGCAACTGCTCGTTCCTGCCACAGTGCAGAGGGAGCTGCCCTGGTCCAGGCTGGGCTATAGTGGAAGCTCGGGTGACTGCCAGAGGACAGGTCAGGGGGATGCTGACCCAGCAGGAGCTGTCTATACCGGTTGCCTTCAGACAAAGTTACAGAGAAAGAAGTATGTTCACAGGAGAGAGGAAACAATTAAGAAACACACAAGCCTGAAAGGAATCAAGTGAAGATGAATTAAGAGGTGAGGTGTGGAAGAGAGATGAGGCCAGCCTGGTCTACAGAGCTAGTTTGAGGACAGCCAGGGTTACACACACACACACACACACACACACACACACAAGACAGGATGTATCTCATCGGTAGATATCTGAATGTTTGAGGCTCTAGGTACAATTCCCAGCACTTGGAAGAGAGTTGAGGCTCAATACAAATTTCTAAAACCAAAAGTAATCATTAAAAAGACCTTTCCTAACCCACACATTGAAAGGACATGAAGGACTGCAGGAAAAATTGACACAACACTCAATACTAACAAATAACAGGTTCTATGCAGACAAAGAAAAACATCCTGCATGGGTGTGAGATCCAGGCTGCCTCAGGTTCCCCCAAAGCTTGCACAGCACTGGAGCTAAGTCTCCAGGGGCTGATATGCAGATCTCATGGCCAAGCTCACATCTGAGAACAATTCAGTCAGCCAGCAGGACAATGCTGCTAAAGAACAAGGTGTGGGGCTCTGTGTGTATGAGCCACGGTAAACACATGTCCCAGCCACCACCCCAGAGGCTGGGGAAGGGTAAGTCCTACACTAGATGCCATCACCTCTCCCTGGAAGCACTCCAGATAGGCGCCCAAGACCTAACTACAGGACAGCAAAGTAAGGCCTCAAAAATGTCTCCCACCCAGAGTCAAAAGCCAAAACCGAGGGACTGGAGAGATGGCTCAGAGGTTAAGAGCACTGGCTACTCTTCCAGAGGTCCTGAGTTCAATTCCCAGCAACCAAATGGTGGCTCACAACCAGCTACAATGAGATCTGGTGCCCTCTTCTGGCCTGCAGGCAGAACACAGTATACATAATAAATAAATCTTTAAAAAAGAAAGAAAAAAAAAAAAAAAAAAAAAAAAAAAGGTCAAACCTGGTCAGAGAAGAGGCTAGGAGCTAGAGCAGGGGAGAGGGTGGGACTGGGGCTGCAGATCAGGAGATGAGGAAGAAGGCCCTGTTGGGCATGGTTGTACTCACAGGAGCTGCTGTCTCTGGGCTGTGCTCATCCGGCTAAGCTCCACTGGCCTGGGCTTGCTGGTCACCCTGCTGTGGACACAGAGAGTCCAAGTCAGTCTGACACCACATTTCCCCAGAAAATTTGCTCTGTGGCGCCCCGAGGAGTTCCTGAGTTCCACACTGCACACTGGCTGTGAAGACTGGCTCTAGATGAGCTGTGTCACCCGTGTCACCTGGCTGCCATATCTGGGGTTGACAACCACAGTGTCCAGGGTCTTCTTGTCTCACTCCCCAAGGTTCTAGTGTGATACGGAAGGGACTATCACCCCTGAAAACACATCACGTTTGTACCTCGAGTCTGCTACCTGCCCAACCTGAGTGGAGGACAAGCCACCTAAGTGGCAGGCAGCCCTGGAGCCTTCACTGCACAGCCAGGGCAGGACTGAACTCTGAAAACACACGGCACTTCCTGACATGACATGGCACCTGACATCTATCCTCTCACTTTTGATGAGTAGAGAGGGCTATGCTACTAGAGGTATGTGGCAACTGCCACTCTACTGTGACGGTAGGAGGCAGGCAAACCCCACATCTACCCTATAGATGACAAAGTGAACCGAGAAGCCTTTTGGGGCAAGAGAGTTTTGCCTGCTGACCGACCACCAGACTAGGGTACCATGAGAAGACTCTCAGGGCCTTCCAAGCCACTGCACTGGGTCTAACTTAGGGGGTTAGTTTGAGGGTCTGGGGCTCAGTGCCAGGCAGCACATCTCCTAAGGTCAATTCTATTACTTCCAGGTCATGGCAGGAGCATTCCTACAACATGCCCAGGAACATGATTCAATATTTAAAAGAGAGAAGCAGCCCCACCCAGCAGCAAGGGACCTGGGCAGAAAGGAAAAACCCAGAGCCTAGCATCTGACAAGATGCTAAAAGAATGAAACCCAGAAAAGGAGGCAGCCAGAGGAAAGGCGGAAAGCACCATGCCCTGGGCCAGTACCTAATTTAGACTCCTGAGCAGGAGGACTCATCTATTCATGTTCCTTTTCAAATATGCATGAACGACACTTTTGTGTCTTCTCGTCTCTTTCTCACACCCAGGCCTCTGGTCTCCCTGGGAAAGGACTGTTAGGCTGCGTGCAACCCTCTTTCCCTGCCCCAGTCTGTGAGGATGGAAACCTCCTGCCTGTTTGATCAGCTTCTCCAGACACCTCAGAATCCCTCGGTATGAGAAGCAGCACCTAAGCAGCGGTGGCCGGTGCCTGGAGGACAGTGTGCAAAGGAACACTGCCCCAGGGGACCTAGCTTGTCACCTCAGTCCCACTGGCTGTGTGATGGGGAAAGTCTCCCTCAATGCAGTCCAGAGCTGCTCTGAGTATGGAGGGGGCAGCCCAGGTCTTACAGGACTCTGTTATGGGCGCAGAGAGATCCTGAACTCAGGCCTAGAAGCAAGAACACAGCCTGACCCTGTGAAGTGCCTCCACATGCGGATGGTGGACTTCCTAGAGCACAGCCTCATATGGTGTTCCATAATTGAAAAATTTAAAAACAGTAGATTTCCAAACATACAACAGCCAAAAATAAATTCAGAACCAAATGCAGAATGAATCCAGGATGTTTTCGGCAGAACTTGCCCGAGTTACCTCATGCACCTTTGCTGCAGTCTTGGTCCTGGAGTGTAAAACACAGCAGGCACTGCCAACCAGCACTGCCTGACTCCTGACTCAGACACGAGGCTGTTACATGGCAGGAGCGGCAGTGTTCTTCCTGAACCAAGTTTCTGGCTCTCAGAGAAGCACAGTGGTGTAACTGTGGAAATAAATACTTGGAAGGGGTTCTTATGGTTCTTCATGCCAGGATCAAATCTGGGTATCTTTGCACTGTATTTTTAGAATGCTGGATATATACTTTTTGTTCTTTATTCTGTTTACTATGTGAGACATCATTCTTAGCATTTATGATTATAAAATAAAAATGCTGATCAACTCTGGAAAATACTAAAGATACTCTACATCCTTAGTTAGCAAATGAACAGCCAGGATTTATTTTTTAAAAAGATTTGTTTTTATTTTTACTTATGTGTCATAAAGATGGCCCAGCCTGCATTAGCTTCTTCCTGGCAACTTAGGTTTTCTCTAACCTCAAGAAAACATGTGGCACACTTCAATGGAGGGATGGTTAAAAAAAATAAAAAGAATGCCTGACTCGATGGGCACTGGTAGCTCACACCTTTAATCACAGCACTTAAGAGGCAGAGGCAGAGGCAGGTGGATCTTTCAGTTTGAGGCCGGTCTGATCTAAAAAGCAAATCCAAGACAACCACAAAGAAACTCTGTCTCAAAAACTAGCTCCCACCGCCGCCCAAAAGTGCCTGCCTCAGTCTGAGAAGCTCGCAGCCAGGAGGAGCCTGAGGAAATGGAAGGAAGGCACATCAGCGTTCCTCCTGTTAATTACAATTTCACCGGGTGGTGTTTGTTCAAGCGGGTGTGTTTGTATAGGTATGTACATGTGTGCAGTGTGCTCATGTACCTATGAAGGCCAGAAGTCAGCCTCAGGTGTCCTCCTCAATCACTCTACCTTATTTAACTCGGAGCTCATCAATTTGGCTAGGCTTGGCTGGCCAACGGGCTCCAGAAATTTTGCTATCTCCACCCACATGGCGCTGGGGTCATAGACGCCACGTCCAGATTTTTACGTGAGTGCTGGAATGCAAACTCAGGTCAGGTGAAGTGCACAGCAGGCACCTTACAGACTGAGCTGTCTGTCTCCTCACTCCACAGACTACTGCTTTCCACTCATTATTATACGCGGTTCAATCCTGGTCCACTGTGACAAACTTCCAGCATGTGCCCCATGTTTTCCGATGTTAACAGGTAACTATCTTGGCCATTTTTCTGTAAACCTAAACTACTTGTTTTTTTCTTGTTATTTTGAAACAGGGTCTCATGATGTCTACCAGTCTGGCCTCAAGTTCACAGCAATCTTCCTGCCTCAACTACTCAAGTGCTGGGACTCTGAAGCTGTTCTGGAACACAGCAGAGTCAACTGGCTGCCACAGGGTGAGTGCTGGGGCTCCTGCGAGCAAGCACTCAGGGCTGGGGCAAGATGGGAACCTTCTCCCACAACAGCTGAAGCAACCCTGGGGAGGCACATGGCTCCAGTGCATTCCTCTCTGGGCTGGTAGAGCAAACTGTTTCTGCAGCCCTCCCCCTTCTGGGAGCCCCAAGCACATTTTTCAGATGAGAAACTATAAAGAGGGAAGGGACCCTTGACCAGGGTCACATTTTTTGCTTAAGAACCAGGAATGGAATCTGCATGGCTGGCTCTGTTCAGCTGCTGAGTCTCAACCCTGTGTCAGTGCCGTGTCTGGCCTGAGCAGAATGGGTGTTCCATCTTGGGAACCCAGCCCTTGGCCATCTGGCTCTACAGCATGTCACCAACCTGCCACATGACAAGGGTGAGGGCTCACAGACCAGCGTACATAACCTTTGCTTTATCCTCAGATGAAAATTCAGCAGGAGAAAAGATTATTTTTTTATATAGGCAAAATAAGAAGTAACAAGCCTTGTGTGGTGGCTCACACCTGTAATCCCAGCACTTGGAAGGCTTAAAAGGACTGCATTAAGTTCAAGGTCAGTCTGAGTTACACAATGAACAGGACAGCCAGGATAGTGAGACCTTGTCTCAACCCTCACTACCACCACCCTCCAAAGAACAAAAACAAAAAACCCCACAAACAGTAATGTCAATTAACACTGAAAGCCAGCAACTCTTGAGAGCAGAGAGCCCTGAAGCTCCTCCATCTGCCCAAAAGTACAGCTCTGCAGTTCTGGAAGCCCCCTGCCCTGTGTCCACTCCTCATCCTTTCACTGCAGGAGGATAGGTAAATTCAGGGCTGTGTGGGTTCCATGCCATACAAAGAGTGCCCAAGAACAGAGGCTCGTCCTTGTGTGGGCTGGGGAAGGGAGGCACACAGGCTGGGGTCAGGTAAAGGTTCACTGAGAGAGGGATGGCAGGCCCTGTGCCTGACCACGTGCCCAGGATGGAAACTGAGGACAGAGGAAAGAAGGCATGAGGGAGCACACACTGGCAGGCCAGCGAGGCTCCCACTAGGGCTAAATCCAGGTCCTTCTTTCCTAATAGTCACTACTATACTCAAGGGCTCAAGTCAAGGGCGAGGCTCTCTGAGCCACACGTGGCTTGAGTGTTGACTTACTCACCTGGCAGACAGGAGCCCTCATAGATGCTATCAATCCCTCTCCTCACCTCTGTGGTGATCCAAGGCTGCTGACCACAGCTCTGTAAAGAGATGGCCGGTGCCAGACACTCACCGTCTGGTTTGCTGCTGCTGGCGACTGGCCTCCAGTTCCTGCAGTTCAGGTAGAGCATCCCTCAAGGGGTGCAGATCACCTACCACCACCATGGCCTTGCGCTTTTGTTCCTCCCTGAGCTTCTGCTCCGCCAGCTTTATGGCTTCAATTTCTGAGGGGAGACACAGGAGTATATGCCAGTTAAACCCCATTCCCCAGCCCGCCCCCTCAGAGGCCACCAATGCCAAGGCACCCACTAAGCTGTGTGCACCCTGGGGCCTGTTTGCTCTCAAAGAGCAGAAGTGTCTTTGTTTCCCCCACTGTCACCAGCTCTGAACCCCTAAAGACTTGGGAGGAGGACCAGCTCTGAGTTATTTTTTTCTCCTTAATCACAGAGGCACACTTTAATTACAGGGCTGACTATGTCAGCTTGGAGCTGCAGAACAAAGGGCTCCCTCCTCTGTAAGGGGCGCAGTGCGGGGCCGGGCACACAGGCACAGGGGGCCGGATGCAGTGTGGGGCCAGGCACACAGACACAGGGGGCCGGATGCAGTGTAGGGTCTGGGCACACAGAAACAGGGCAGCCCTGTGGCATAGGGAGAGTGGGCAGATGCAGGCCCTGGCTCCATTTCCCAAGGACTCTTACTGAGGAGCCACAATGTCCTTTACCCTGGGCTATCTAGAACCATGTGGCACCTCCTTGAGACCGCAGGACGCAGGACGAAGAGAGTGGCCTCATGGGGAGGAACTGAAAGCCATAGGGAGGCACAGGGAGCAGGGGGGTGGCCAGGTTGTATGCACAGCACTAATGTAAGAGAAAGTTCATTGCGGAGCATAACCTTGATTTTCTTCAAAGGATGAATTTAATTCCAAGTTGCTGATGTAACAAGTACTTAAAGTAATTTGCCTGCATGTGGCTGAGAGGTGTATGCAGGACTGGGATAAAGCCCCACTTTCTCTGGGTCACACACAAGGACCTTTACTCAGACACTTCAATCATGCGGTGACCCTAGCAGAAGGGGTGAGGCAACCAGCAGCTTCCCCCTCAGCAAGGCCAACCTGAGCATCCCAGCCAGGCAGGGCCAATATGCCAGGGTCTATCACTTTACCCTGAGACAAAAAGAGCCCACCAAGCCCTCTGCCCAGTGTACCCTAAGAGATTTTGTGGATTTATAAAGGGACAATTTGTTTTTTGTTTTTTTTTTTTTTTCAGTCTAGGTGGAACAGAGCAAACAATTCACTTAGCACCTCATCAAAACCAGCAGCTCTTCCCTGAGCCAAATCATGGGGGTTGGATTTCCCTGGCAGAAAGAAAGGCAAGGGGCCACTCCCTCATACATGCAGACCCAGCAAAAAGAGATGGAGGCTGAGGAAGACATGCAGCCCAAACACAGGGAAGCAAATCCAAGCCAGAGATGCGCAATCAGGGCGGTCCAGGTATGCAAGGATAGTTTGGTGTCTGAAGTTGATTAACCCACCATGACCCACAGCAATGCCAGCTAAAGGGGTGGGGGGAGAACCTGGTCACTAGATGTGCCAGAAGAGATGTGATAAAACACACTGTCTACTCATGAGAAAATTATGATGAAACCATGAACAGACCCAAGATCGTAAATATCTCATGTCTACTGAACTCAACAAGACAGGGCCAATCACATCCTGGCACTACCATCTGGCAGTTCACTGCCACCAGTGAGGCAGAGACAGGGGCAGGAGACAGCAGGGAGCAGTGAGGGTCATACATGTGTCCAGCCTCAATCTCTAACCCACAATGCAACAGGACTTTTAACCAAGTTGGGAAACTAAATCCTATTCTTAAACAGACAAAAACAAAACCTTCAGCTATTAGAGACAGGGGGTTAAGAAGATCAAGGTCATCCAGGACAGTCTAGAATACTCAAGACCCTGTCTCAAAAACAACAACAACAAAAACCTCAATGTGAACAAAACATTATTTAAACAGAATTAACAAGAGAGCAGGTCTACCCTCAAAATACACAAGAATGAAGCCCAGAGGAGAGCACCAGACAAAGAGAGGTGGCCGCACATGGGGCTGCCCTCCCTCCCTGCACCCCAGGATGAATTACTTGAGCTGGACACTCTCAATAAGTAGAGAACCACCAAAAGTAACACACAGTAACACCGCACAGTATCACTGGGATCCAGGAAAGGAAATCACTGCCATGAAACAGAGCTTCTGAGCTGCCTTGGACCAGGCGGGCACCTCAGGTGTCACAACAGCACTTAGCAGCTGGCTGTGCCTGCTGTGAAGCGCAGTCCTAGGACACCTGAAGCCGCCATGCTCAGAACATAACACTCCAGGGAGGGAGAGCACTTCCTGAGGGATCTGGCACTGGGGAGGTAAAGTCTTCAAGCAAAGTGGAGCAAATGGAGAGAGGGACAGGACAAAGGTAAAGCTTGGGACAGTTCCTCACAGTGACAGCAGTGAGAATGCGTCAGGGACCAGCAGGCTCCACAGCCACAGAAGAGACGTACTGCCGGTCCTGAGAATCCAGTATAGACAGCCACCAGACCCAAGACACAGCCTGCGCACGATCACAACACACAGGTCGTTACTAAAACACTTTGTACTTTCAAAAGTATTTGTCCAAAACACCACACACACACACACACACACACACACACACACACACACGCACACACACGGTGGGGATCACCTACAGCACAGATAATGTTCGTTAAGGAAACTTATGCTGAGGCACACCATGTTCCTTGGCTTGACTTGATTAAGTGTCGGTGGCAAACCCTCCTGAAGTTGATCTACAGACTCAGTGCAGCCCCAAACATCATCCCTCTCAGTTTTTGTTATTCTCTTAAGGAAAATAAATAAACAAGTAAACAAATAAGTGAGGTAAGTGGAAATGCTGACAAACACTGATAGCCAGAGCAACCTAGGACAAGGGTGCAGAGGAGGCCTGGTGTGCCAGTTCCACCCGCTGAAGCTACAGTAACCCTGGGCCACAGCACAAGCACGGAATGGAGAAAAGCCATGTGACTTTCAAAAGGACAATCCAAAGAGGAGGGCAAAATGCGTCAGGCTGGCAGGACCACCCACCAACTCACAGCAGACTGTGCCAGTTCAGAATGGACCACAGCTTAAGGGCAAGCAAGGCTATGACACTTCCAGAAGGAACACAGGAAAATATCTTCATGACTTGGGATTAGGTGCTGTTTGTTTGCAAAAGAGTCTCTTATATAGCCCTGGTTGTCCTAGAACTCACTGTGTAGAATGAGTTCTTGGACTCACAAGATATCAAGCCAGGCAGCGCTCTCTTAAACAAGGCACACTATGGCCACATGGAAAATGAAATATGGGTTTACGGTTTTTAAAAATTAAACTCCTGTAGTTAAAAAAAAAAAAAAAAAGTTAAGAAAATGAACAGATGAACAGGCAAGAAAGTCTGCAAGAAATACAGTGCGCACACAGGGCCAGGGCCAGGGCCAGTGGGTCCCAGGCACACACAGAGACCTCAAGCTCAGTAATAAAAACCGAGCACCTCAAGAAAAATGAAGCTCAGTGAAGATGAAATGTAAACGAGATGCAAGCACATGACAATGCTCTTTCACAGAACAAAGACCAGCAGTCCATGAGACCTCAGCCAATGTCACCAGACACTCGACTAAAGATATGACAACGCCGGTCCATATGGCTGTCGGGCCACCACAACTCTCATGCTGCTGTGGGGAGCACATGAATGACTGCTTCAGAAGAATGTCTGGCAGTGCTTATAAAACTAAACATACACCTGCCCTCTGACCCAAGACTCCATTCCTAAGTATTTACAGAAGAGGAAGAAGAACATGTCCACAGAAACACTAGGACAAATGCGCACACCACCTCCCTCAGCACAGGCGAGACGGAAGAGCAGATATCCATCAACGGAAGGGCGGCACTGATGGCCATGAACAGGGTGCTGCCTGTCAGCCTCAGGGCCGGCCACTGCTACGTGCAGGGCAGCCTGGCAGGAAGGCAGAGCACTGCCTGTGTGAGTCATTCCCGGACTGCAAACCCAACCACAGACACGCTGGACATGGCACCTCATACTGGGTAGTCAGGGAGCATACACAGCTGTCCGTAGTTATTGCTGATGCCACGTAAACACGCTCTTCACAGAGACCAGAGAGAGGGGTTCATAGACAAACTAAACGCTAGCCAATCGTAGGTTCAGTCCCCAGTACCGGAAGAGCGTGGAGACAGGGGACAAAGAGAGGGAAGAAACAATACGGAGCCTTTTGCTGACAGAGCCTGAGATCTGAGGAAATTGGACTATTTTAGAAGAAACCATGAGCAATAAAAATTGACTCAAATCAACCAACCACCAGGAACAAAAACTTCCACATCAAAGAAGCACACTGCGGACGTGGCCAGGTCCTACGCTGAGCCCTCTGCATGACCTGCTCCGAAGAGAGCACGCCACACAGTGTTTTGCTAGGAATTGTGAGGAAGTGGAGGGCAGCCTATTTCTTTAAAAACCACCCAAAAAGTAACAAAATGTAAAACTAGTAATCAGAGAGAAAACTGATCAATTTCTATAAATACTTCTTCCAAAAAATACCCTTTTATGTAAAGTTTTCAAGAAAAAAATTTCAAGAAAAATTCTTATTTTCAAGAAAAAATAAACCATATTTAAACATGGAAGATGAAATGTTCTAAATTAACTCCCAAAGTTGGCAGAATCGCACTAAAAAGATAACAGCTGAGAAAAAAACTACAAAGCAATCTTTGTAATTTTCAAGTACACAGAGAAAATGCTTGGGAAAAGTCGCACGTAATCAGCATTACGGAGAATGACTACCTAGTACAGGCAGGGGGTGAGGGAAGAGCCGCTCCATCTGCTCCAGATGCCTGAGAGAGCAAGACCAAGTGCACCTCAGCCACGCCAGCCTAGCCCCTACTCCTGCAGCTGCGCGACAGAGCCTCAGAGATCGGGAGCTCGGGTCAAGCCTGGCTGCCCACAGAGGTGAGCTGGCCTAGGCCATAGGAACTCTACTATAAAATACCCAACCTCAGGCAGACCTGGAAAGAGCTGCACACAGGCCTCCGCTGTGTGCAAGGGCTCTGACCCACAAACGTGCAGGTGATGTTATTTCTGTAGGTAAAGCTCTCATCACGGAGCCCCAAACAGACCACTTTACCTGACTTTCAAGGACAGGAACGACTTTCAAGATGATTTCCAGAGAAGGAAGCAAGGAGGTTGCAGGAGGCTCACCCATGGGTCTATACCACCTCATGCTGCCCTGTTGCCGACTCCCTCTATGTGGCCCAAGTGAAGCGAGCCACTGAGTGCTGCCTCTAATGCTTGCTGGTGAGCTCCCCCTGGATTCCACCAGGGTCTGTGAGGACAAGAACATGACACATAGCTAGCCATGTGGCACAGGTGTCTGAATGAGAACCAGGCAGGTGTGGCTAACTCACAAGATACAGACATGAACTTACTCTGCAGCCATCGCTCACGGCGAAGCCTCAGCTTTTCCTTCTTAGGCAAAATGGCCTTTGGCTCTGTACCTGAGGAGAGAGAACACATGAGTGAGCAGTGAGCATGAGTGAACTGTGTCTGTTCAGCCCAGGCTCTCTCCATCCCTGCAGAGGCTATGGTCAATGAAAAGGCAGACTGTGCATCCAGGTCCTAAACCCTCGGTCTCAAGGCTCCACGCAGCAGTGGGACCCTATTTGGTACAGCACCGTAAGGCTCTCCAAGCCCAGCTGGGACCCCAGTGTATTTGGGAAAGGTGAGGATGCTACAGCACCACCACCAGGTCCTGGACATGATAAACCTCTACTTCGCTTGCCAGCATTAGGACACAAAGCATGAAAACAAGGAACCCATGACTCCTCCGGTCCCCAGGGTACCTCCATCACCGGAAAACAAGCCTCTCATCTCTGCCTCTCTATCTTTATTGGCGGTAGCTTCAACTACCTGGTTTTGTGTTCTCTTGCCTGTGCTCCTGGCCTTAAATAACCCACTATGGTGTGCTGGCACATCCCTACTGTAACGGCTGAACTGTGTTCCAAATCCATGTGCTGTAGTGCTAACTCTTGGTTCTTTAGAATGGAATGGCAAGCAGCCAGGCATGGAAGCTCATACCCATTATAATTCTAGCACTCAGAAGGCTGCAGGAGGAAAATTGCTGAATTGCCTTAAGTTTGAGGCCAGCTTGGGCTACACAGTGAGTTTCAACTACAAAGTTAAGACCTTGTCTCAAAACTTTTTTTTTTCAAAAGGAAAAGTAATAAGACTATCTTGGGAGACAGGGTGCGATGGTTAGTTCTGGTTGTCGACTTGACACAGTGGGAAGGGAGTCTCAGTGAAAAACTGTCCAGATTATGTTGGCCTGTAAGGGATTTCCTTAATTGGGTTAAGGTGGGAAGATCCACCGTGAATCTGAGCGGCACCATGACTGGGCTAAGCTCTGGACTCGATAAAAAGCAAAGGGTGAGCTCAGCACTAGCATGCTTGTGTTTCTTCATCGCTCTCTGCTCCTGACTGTGGATATAATGTGACCAGCTGCTTCACATTCCTGTTGCTCTTATGTCCCCAAACTGATGGGACTATAGAACCTGGAATTAAGCCCTTTCTCCCTTACGCTGCTTTTGCCAGGTTATTTTTATCACAGCAACAGGAAACAAAACTAAGACACAAGTTTTGAGGCTGAAAAGTTGGCTCAGTGGTTAAGAGTATTTGCTGTTCTTTCAGAGAACCCATCTTCAGTTCCCCATAAACTGCAGTTCACAACTATTTGTAACTCCAGTTCTAGGGAATCCAGCACCTTCTTCTGACCCCCACAGGCACCACACACACCTGGTGTAATACCACCAATACAAATAAAATGAAAATAAACAAAATAATTTTAAAGGCACAGGGCCCACATACAAAGATGGTTTAAATAAAATGAGGTCATCAAGGGGGCCCCAATTTTACTGACTTTTTCTTAGATGAGGACCATGAGCCAGGTTCACTCAGAGGGAAGACCACACAGAGCGAAGACATCTGGCAGCCAACAAGGACCAGGAGAACCAAGCCCTCCCTGTCACAAATAGACTCACAGTTCTCCAAAACCACCGAGACAATATGCATTTAAGTCACTGGGTCTGTAGTATTGATAAACAAGTCCATCTCTTCAGAAATGATGACGAGCAACCATCCAGGAGAGGCCTTGCATAAGTCTCCAGTCTGCAGACAGAGGGCCTGAGTGTTCACTTGTCTGGGGACATTAAGAACACAGAAGATGTATCTCCACCAGGAACCAGATAACAAGGCCCCGTTTTTCAAAGAAGAAAACCAAGGCTCACCACTGCATGCTCTGTGGTAACATCAGGTAGACCTGTCCCATTTAACCAGAAGCTGACTGACTGTGGGACACAGACCACTGGGTTGTGTGTGCACAAAGCACTGAGAACACCGAGGGGCTGGCCCTGAGGGGCTGGACAACAGCAGCTGGACTTCCTCTTCTCTAAGGATGGTCACAGCCCTGTCTTACGACAGCTGGAGACAGCTACAGACACCGCCCAGCCAGAGTACCACTCCTGTCTATAGTGAGTAAGTAGGACTAAACGCGGAACTGAGGTACAATGAGAGAAAAGAGGGCTCCTTGCTGGTTACTGGGCCTCTAGAGCCCCTACATTCTCAGGCAACTGGGTGGCATGGCCTCTTGGTGGGATGTGTAAGTCTATAAAATAAACCTGGGACTTGGGGAGGATGGAAACAGCAGGACTTGGGGAAGGGGTGGGACAGGTTACTGGTATTTCTGCTGCTAGCCTGCCCTAGAACCACATAAGGATAGCCCATGCCCTTGACCTTAACTGCCTTTCCCAGGGCTGACGTGATTTTAGCTACAGAGAACATGGTTTTGGCCCCCAAGAACATGTGTAGAAAACATGGTCTTCTGACATCCTATGCACGTAGATTCCCTGAATCGTACAACAGAGAAAAGGATAAACAAGGCAGAAGCAGGAGAAGCTGGAGACCCTGGTAGGCCACTTCAGCCTTCACTGAGGGAACAGGCACAAAGCCTCGGCAGCTGGTGACTCAGTTCCTTCCCACAGTTAGGGCCACAGTGCTGGAGTCTTGTGCCCATGATTGCAGCCTAGAGCTGACCTGTCTTTCTGCTCGCCATCCCTAATTACTCGTTTTCCACTAGAGGAAAGGACTGGGTCTGAGATGGGGCTAAGAGGGCCCAGGGCTCAGCAGCTTCTCCTCCAGCTGGCCCGACAGAAGGAGCATCCAATGCCCTACACTGCGCTCCAGTGTGCCCTAGCACCGTACCTGGACAGGTGTCACATGACTAGGGGCAATGTCAAACCACAGGTGAGGTGACAACAAGGCCTAAATGTGGGATGTCAGGCTGGGGTGGGACTTGGGGACTTTCTGGGGGTACAGGGAAGCTTGTAAGAAAAATGGGCCTGGCCCAGCCAAGACAACACCAAGTGGGGATAGGGAAGGGGGCAAGAGCCAAACACAGAAGTACCCAAGGTTAAGACACCCCAGGGGGCAGGAAGTAATTCTCCCTACATGATTCTTTCAATTTTCAGTAATTCTGCAATTACTCCAAAGTAAAAATAACAGCGAGGTCAGTGGAAACTGGCCCAGGCAGTAACACGCCTAGCAGCACACAGAACGAAGGATGTTGGAGCCAGCTACCGAGAATGCGAGCTAGAATGTGACCTTCTTAGCCCTCCGTGGCTCCAGAGAAGCAGAACCGAACAGGCTGTTCTTGCAGATGCAAAGGGTTTGGAATGCTGAGGTCATGCAGAAGCTGAAGCCCTGACACAGCCCTAGGGGTCCCGCTGCACTTGGCGCTGACGGTTACCCTCGCTTCACTGGACTCTGCAAGGCTGATGGTTACTCCCTGTAGGCAGAGAGACAGGCCCAGAAACAGGCAGCAACCAGGCAGACACGTGCAGCCTCCATGGTGAGGACAAGGGGGTGTCTGTGATGTCAGCAGGCCTGTGCTGGTTAGAGTAGGAACACGGAATGAGCTGTGGCTGCTGCCTGAACAGAGGGAGCATCACAGGATCCGCTGTGACAGGAACAGCAGCTCAGCCCCAGCTGTGGCGGGTTACAGCAGAGCTCTGACAGTGGCTGCTGCCGGGCTTCTCCCAGACTACCAGTTGTCACAGCATCGGCTGCAGCCCTCACCCTGTGAAGGAAGGAGACAGGGCCCAGCAAGCATTTCTGAGGAGTGACAGGAGCAATAGCTATACTGGGGCAAGACATCTCAGCCCCAGCTTCTTTACCAGAGAACTGGGACTTGGAACAGGTACCATGATTACTGGGTCCGGAGCACACTAGGCCCTACTGTGGAACCACCGACCCTATCTACAGCTTACCCTCAAGGATGAACAAATGTTTAAAATAAAACATGCAACAAAATTGGGATCTAAACCGACAGACACCAACCAGGCTGAAAACGAGAGGACTGGAGAGACAGGAAGGGCAAGAGAAAAAGTAGCCTCAGTCCAGTACCAGTATTTCCCAGCCTAAGAGACAGAGACGCTGCCACCAGGTTCTTCTGGGCTGCTCAGCACCCACAGCACCAGGGAGAGGGGCAAGTGGCCTGTATCGATCAGCTTTTTAGTACTGTGACAAAAGAGCCGAGATAAGCGGCACCGGAGAGGCTGAGGCAGGAAGACTGTCATGAGTTCAAGGTCAGTGTGGACTAGAGCGAAACTTTAGAAACTTCAGAAGAAAAGAGCAATTTTTTAAAAAGAAAGTGGGCTGGAGAGCAGTCAGTAAAACTGCTTGCTAGGCAAGCCTGAAGATCTGAGTTCAAACCCCAGGCCCTACAGCAGACAGCAACTACCATTCCCTCAAGCTGTCCTATGACCTCCAAACAGACGAGGTGGCTCATGTGCCTGAGCTTGTGCACAAATACATACACACACTGTACACACAGACTAATAATAATAAATAAAACTAAATTTTAAAAAGGAGGAAGGGCTGCGTATGATGGCTATCTACAAGGTTTCATTTAAATGTTAAATGAACTACCCTAAATATAGGTAGCACCATTCATTCCATGGCCTAGAGGCCCAGACTACACAAGAGGAGAAAGTGAGTTGAGCCTAAGTGTTCATCTCTCTCTGCTTTCTGACTGTGAACAGAGCCAGTGGCCCAAGAAGCCACCTGGATAGCAATGGAAAAACCCTACAGAGTCTTGGCAACTGGGGTTGCCAAGGCCCTAAAAAGATGCATCTCTGTGTGGAGTTTGGGAAATACACAGGGCAAGGGTATCCAAAGGGAGGCGGCCAGAGCAAGGGTGGAGCCCAGTCATAGGCCAGGAGCTGCTAACCACACGGCGACACAAGAAAGCCTTTCAAGTTCTTGTCCACCTCCCAAAATTTTATCTCAAAACCTACAGCTGCCCGCTAGCCTAGCTGCTGATGGAGGACATGAGGAGCTGACAGCCTCAGCAGGACGCTGGCAGTAAAGCTCCTCCAACAGCAGAAATGTGCTGAGAACCCAAAATAGCCCCAGCCGCTTGGTCCACAGTCCTAGGCTTAGAAAC